TATGACAGAAAGCACTATGTGCAGCTGAGCAGTGCAGTGGGTATGGCAATAGGCAGTATGTGCAGAGGAGGGAATGATAGCAGGTCGTTTGTGCGTTTGTGCAGTGGGTATGACAGCAGGCAGTAGGTGTGGCAGAGGAATGCAAGGGGGGTGACAGGGGGCAGTATGTGCAGTAGAGGAGTGTGGTGGGTATGACAGGAAGCATTCTGTGCAGAAGAGGATTGCAGTGGGTATTAAAAGGAGCAGTATGTACAGGAAAGGGGTGTGAAGGATATGGCAGCAGAAAGTATGTGTAAGAGGAGTACAGAGGGTATGACATCAGACAGTATGTGCAGAATAGAAGTACGTGAGGGTATGAAGTTGGGCAGTATGCCCAGGAGAGTCATGCAGAGGGTATGAAAATAGACAGTATATGCAGTTTTGGAGTCTGAAGGAATGACAGAAGGCAGTATGTGAAGGAGAACATTGTGGAGAGTATGAAAGTGGGAAGGACAGTTCATGTTTTATCTCCCAAATGGTGGTTACAGATCTTTCCATAATTAGCAATTAGCAAAATCACTGAAAAGATATGGGCATAGCCATATATGTAAATGACAGGGGTCTGAATGAAAAAATAGAACAGATTCCTCCCTCAATACTGATGATCATTGATTTCGGAATCTTCCTCTGTCTTCAGTGTAACTCATTGACTGCCAGTTCTGTTGGTTCGAAGATTTTCTGACTGGTTCCTTCGATCCGCTGATGGGGGAATGCCAGCCGAAAGGAAGCTGAGAGCGGCACACACTGTCCAAAATTAACATGATGTATGGCCAGCTTAAGCTTCACTTTCAGTGCTGAACCTCCAGGCTCTGTGTCTAAGCTCATTGTGCAATGCCCATGGAGAGACATGCAAAAAAAGGGTGTATCTTACTGCACTCCTTTCCCGGATCTCCTAGGAGATGATGTCTGTATTAGGGTGCTTGCAGCGACCACGGGGGCACCGTGTAACCGTATAGAATTTCCAAAATGTCACCAGCACTCCAAAAGTAGATTCAACAAATTTTAATGACAACGGTCATTCAAAATGACAAGTACTTTCGGGGCCACGTAGGGTCCCCTAGGTTATTCCGAGCCTGATGACGGGGACCCTACATGGCCCCGAAAGTACTTGTGATTTTGAATGACCGTTGTCATTAAAATTTGTTGAATCTACTTTTGGAGTGCTGGTGACATTTTGGAAATTCTACATGGAGAGACATGGACACTGTTCAGTATGCAATTTGTGTGGTGGGAGTGTTTGGCTGCAGACTGAGGACTCTCTGTAGGAGAAACTGGAGAATGTGCTGGAGGTGGGATGCAAGAGAAGCGGAAAGACGAATGTGTGTGTGTGTGCTGGAGATGAGATCTCACTGGGAAAAGACCAGTATGTGTGTTGGAAGTGTGATTTCCCTGGGGAATGACCAGGAAGAGGCTGATTTACACAGTAGCAAAGTGAAAGTATAATTTAGAAATAATATATGATAGGAATGGTGTACCCTTGCAGTGGGGCTACCCACACACTTCAATGGTTAAGTGCTCGTTTTCGTCTAGGGACTAAAATAATAAAAGTTATACTCGCGAGCCGGCCAGCTGTCAGAGGGCTCCCTCCAGCCTGTCTACTCCTACAGTGCAGCAATAGTATGTCCCCGGATGTCCTCATGTCCTTACACTGCTGTAGTGGAGGGAGAGTGAGGCAAGAAGGGCCTAAGAGCAAGCTGGCTTGAGGATTGATTGAGTATAACTTTTTTATTTTAGTCACTAGACGAAAACCAGCAGTTAACCCTTGCAGTGCAGGGGTAGCCCCACTTCAGGGGTTAATACTTTTTTTCCCTGGAGTTGTTCTTTAAGCTTTCTAATGCCTGTTACTGGTGACCATGGTCGTTGGGGCAGGAAGGAAGAGAAAATCTCTAACAGGAACATACTGTAGATGTCAATAAAAACTGAGGTTCTAGCCCTTTCCCGCTATGTTAAAGTAAAAAAAAAACGGGTTATATGTCATACTACCTGTGGGAAGTGACATGTCAACCAGTTTGTTTCTATTGTTACTATGCATCCACTGGCCAAATATCTACTAATTAAAATCAATGACAAGACTGTCATTTTTATGTATTGTAGCAGATGTATGACAAGATATGGATCTGTGACAGGATACAATACTGACGCCTCCACGTGCAATATTGGCCAGTTGCAATGGTAACGAACACACTGAAGAGGCAACTCCCACAGGTCAAAGGACCTTCAATCTGAGAGACAAAAAACCAAAAGGAGCGCCTCCATAGTGTAAAACTAATTTTAATGATAAAAACGCACAACTGTATTGTACGTACAAAAAGTCGGTAGTAAAAAGGCATGTAGAAAACAATGGGTTGTCAAATCTTGATTTGACATTCCATTGTTTTCTACATGCCTTTTTACTATAGACTTTGGCTGCAAAAGTGGAACTACACTTTAGGTTTTGCTATGTGAATGGTAATATGAAACAAATATAAAGTAGGTACTATCCCAATTTGGCTGAAAATGTGGAAATAAACTGTAAATAAAATGGCAACATGACATAGCGCTACTTTCAAAAACCTAGTAATGTAATTCTAGGGCTCTTATGCTATCCACACTTGTGGGTAAATTAATCATTGTTCCTCTGTATGGCCATTTCTCCCCAGCATAATTAGCTCACCAAGTCTGAACACGGAAAAAAAATGAATACCCATTGATGCAATGAGAAAGCACCTTAGTATGATCGAAGGGGGATCGACTTCTCAGCCAATCAGCATTGAGCTGGCTTCCTGGCCAAAATGGGTCATTACCAGTGGCCCGGCTTCTTGATTGGCTGGAAAGCCGTCTACATGCTGTTTGGACGGCTTGATGCTTTTTGGCAGGGAAACCGGCTTCCCGGGCCAATCAGCATTGAGCCAGCCAAACAGCATGGAGCAGGCTTCCCTGCTAATCAGGAAGCCGGGCAGCAAGTTATTACCTATGACCCGGCTTCCTGATTGGCCGGGAAGCAGGTTCTATGTTCCCTCGTGACACTGCCGGTCAGAGAAAATCTCCCTCTGACCGGAAGTTCTGGTATCGGTATAAGTATCGGAGCATTTTACATAATACTCGGTATCGCCATTGATACCGATACTAGTATCGATATCAGTGCATCCCTAAAAAAGATTACAAATATTGCACTTTATATAATGGTTCTATTGTAAAGTAAAGGTTAATGACTGGTTTAGAAAACACTTATCAATGGCAAATAATGTATGCTTTAAAAGTCATGTTATTTACGTTGTACACATTTTATTTAACTTACATTGCCAGTGTTAAGCATCGTGATGTGCCTCTTGCAGAGTTAAATACTTCCTTTACTTCTTATATTTATACATGCTGTGCATTCATTTGTGCACAGTGCCGGTAATACTTTACCTCTCCAGCCCTGTCCAGAATCCTGTATTTATAAGTTAATTATCCTTATTCAGTAGCATACGTTAAATAGCCAGTTCTAAGATTATTTTTAGAGATCCAAATCTCCCTATTGTCTCAAAGTGACGTCAGACCTTGCTCTAAGTGCTCCAATGCCAGTAGCACTACGAGGATTCCCCTGGTACAGTCTCCAAGCATGACACTGATTCTTCTGCACTCCCAGTGTGTCAAGGACATAACCTCACTATGAATTATACTAGAAGTGTCCCACAGCACCAGTGGCATTGAATCAGAGAGAGCATTCTGGTATGCTAAAGGTTTTGACCTTGTTTTTAAATTGGATCACTAATAATCATGTACTGTGTAAAACATTCAGTGCGATTTTATATCAAGTATGATAATGGGATACAAATACACAAATAGGAACCTAAGTGTGTTTACAATATAAAGAGAAAGAAGTTGCATTTTATCCTTATGAATGCTACATGCAGTATCTGATGTTCATTCTGCCCAGCATTTGCATGATAGGGATGAGTGAACCCTATTCATTGCTTTGCTGAACATATACCTCTCAACAAGAAAATATTCCCAGTGCATTTTAATATAGGAACATAAAAATCACCCTTGTGGTGTTTCCCTTAATAAAATCTAGGAAGGAAAATTGAAAAACATCACGTATTTAATTAATTGTGTAAGTGCTAATAAAATGTTACAAAAAATGGGCAGTGGAGGTATTAATCTCAATGATCATCTGACAGCCTGTAAGAAATGTATTGTTACTGAATGCACACTGAAAAGGAACTTATGCTGTTTTTATTTTAAATTTGTTTCTGATAAACATACAAATGAGATAAGCTTGATGTAAATAGTCTTACCTGTGTGTGTATATGTTTTAATGCCTTGTTTCTGGGTGTAGCTTGCAATTTTTTTCCATATGTGGCAGCCATATTTAATTATTACATATGCAGGTTTTGTTTCCCGCATTGCGCTGCTTCACAGCAGTTCTACTGTACTATTTATTTACCACACTGCATGTTTGTGAGTCAGCTAACTCACTCTAAATGCACTCCTTGGGTGGCTTATATGTCATCTCAACAGTTGTCGATGAGAGAGTAATGCCCTGAGCCAATAAAACTCCCTCTAGTGGCTGATCCACAAATCTTAGTTAATGAATTTACAAAAATATGAAAAAGCAAGCATGTAAAAAAAATGAAAGTCAAAAAATGTATTTCAACATTTAAACATGAAACATGGTATCACTGAAAATACACTGTACACCCCGTTTATTTCAAGAATGTATAGATAGGGACTGACCATCAATACTAGTTGTCACTTCAAAAACAGAACCCTCAAATTCTTAACAGTTCCAAGCTGCCAAGCAGAACAAAATAATATAAGATAAAATAATATAATAATAAAACTAGAAGGACTGGTATTCTATATTATTTAGAATAACAGTACGGTGTATATTTTATTCTGTATGAAATTATATTTAGAATAATGATACTGTGTATATTCTGTTCTGTAGGAAATGTTATTTAGAATAACGGTACTGTATATATTCTATTCTGTAGGAAAGTGTGAATGCGGCCAGTGTACTTGTTTCCCACCTGGAGATACCAGAGTCTATGGGAAGCATTGTGAATGTGATGATCGACAATGTGAAGACCTAGAAGGAAAGATTTGTGGAGGTAAGGTTACACTTGACCTACCTACTGTATGTAAATAAACAGTTTCTGGTAAGTTCAGTGATCTGAAAATATTTATACCTAAGGCTAGGGATGAGCTCAGGTTCTGTCCAAACCCAGTCTGAACCTTAGCTGCTACAAACTTGGAAGCTCCATCTGCTGCAGCCCAATCAGCTGTGGCTGGGAATCCCCACCCAGGGCTGTATGTAAGCAAGGGGGCGGGATGCTGCAATGTCACTGACCTTATATTTGGTCAGTTAAAATGGCCTAATGTGGCCATGTGGGCTAGACAGGCTAGTTTGAGTATTTATGTAACTACTGAACTCCTGGGATTTGTATGCACAACAGTCCCTAGGGTTTCCTCAGATTGGTGCAAGAAACAAAAGACATCCAGGAAATGGCATTGCTGCAAACAAACACCCTTGTTGATGAGAAAAGTCCGAGCAGAATGGTTCAAGCTGAAAGAAAGGCTATAGTAACTTGGAAACCACATTTTAAAACTATGGTGAGCAGAAAAGCGTCTGAGAATGTACAGCACATTGAATCTAGAGGCGGATAACTTGTAACAGCAGAAGACCAGCGGAAGTGACAATCCTGTTTTACGATTGGCTTAGTTACTTTGTACTTTGGCTGGCTTTCAGCTGAGGAAACTATGTTATGGAAATGGTAAATCAAATAATCGTGACCAGAGTCTGAATAAAAGGTACCACACCCCTAATGTATTAAGTCAAAAAATAAAGAGTGGAGGTGGGGCAAAGTGACAAAGACCAATAAATTACCACATGATGAAACAAGAGTATTTTATTATACAAAGGTTAAACATTTTAAAAAACATATTTGATATGTGCACATTACAAAACAGAGAAAGAAAAACAGATTGATCTCCCAATAACCATTCCAGAGTTATAATGTGAGGCTAGATGGCCATGACAAACATAATTGTTATAGCATGTTCTCATACACGAATGCCTCTTCTTATATCAGGAATGGTGATTCTCTCTCTCAACGCGTTTCACGCTCCAAGCGCTTCCTCAGGAGATAGAGAAGATCGCTCCCAGAGAGTAATCCGTGCACGCCCAGCCAGGCCAGCAGAGCAAAATACCCAACCATGCCCAATGACAGAGAGGACTTCCCCATAGATGTTGGGGAGAGGGCGATAAGCGGACAACCGTCAAAGGCTGAAGGTTATCAAAAAAGACCCTAAGCAGGGGGAGCCACAAAGAGCACAGTCCGCAATCACCTTCGAGCCGTCAGTGTCAACGAGGTCGCAGCTCGACGGCAGCTTCGCAGCTGCGACCTGTTTGAGGTCTTTTTCGATTGTAGTTTGCCCAGACTTACCTGAGGTAGCCAAAATCCTTTTGGGAGAATGTGCTGTGGACAGACGAAACAAAATGACAGCTTTTTGGTAAAGCCATCATTCTACTGCTTTCAGAAAAAGAAATGGTCTTTAAATAAAAAAATACAGTCCCTACAGTCAAACATGGTGGAGGTTCACTGATGTTTTGGGGTTGCTTTGCTGCTTCAGGCACTGGATGTCTTGACTGTGTGCATGGCATTATGAAGTCTGGAGATTACCAAATAATTCTGGGGTGCAATGTAGAGCCCAGTGTCAGAAAGTTGGGTCTCCGTCAGAGGTCATGGGTCCTACAGCAGAACAATGACCCAAAGCACACGTCAAAAAGCACCCAGAAATGGTTTCAGGCAAAGCGCTGGAAAGTACTGGACTGGCCAGCAATGAGTCCAGATCTGAATCCCATGGAGCACCTGTGGAGAGATCTCAAAACAGCAGTTTGGAAAAGGAACCCTTCCAATCTGAGAGCCCTGGAGCAGTTGGCGAAAGAAGCCAGTTGGTCCAAAATTCCAGAAGAAAGGTGTAAAAAAACTAATTGATCGTTACAGGAAGAGATTGATTTCAGTTATTTTTTCCAAGGGCTGTGCTACCAAATATTAAACTGAGGGTACCAATAATTTTGTCGAGTCCATTTTTGGAGTTTTGCATCGATTGTGTCATACCAATACAAACAAAAGAAATAAACATGAAATAAACATGAAATAATCATGAGAATGCCTAAACATAGAGGAACACTCATAGAGGATTCCTGTTCATTGATAACAGGGGATACAGAAAAGTGATTAAGGACTCTGTGTTCTCAATCTCTTTTTCTATTTTAAAAGGGAAATATCAGGGGTCTGTTTAGACCTCTAATATTTCCCAAAGCCCCTAAAAGTAAAGTAAAAATGAAAATATTTAATAAAAAATGAATAAATAAATAAAAATAAATAAATATAAAAAACATTTAAAAGTTGATAAAAAATAAATAAAAATTAAATATTTTAAAACATTTTAAAAATTAAAATAAAAACATTTTTGGTTTCTGCCTGACAATTTTTTCTATTTCAGTTACGTTTAGGTTGTTAAATTTCTATTTCGTTGCACCTCTACCAATAAGTAATGATTGTTACAAATGATTCTGTGTACTGTACTTGCTTCAGTTGACAGATGATTGCTGATTAATTGTTTCAGGTTACTGTGTTTGGCACATTTTTATTGGTGTTTCTTCCACTTTTAGAGAGTATGCCTGACAAAGTCTCACTATTTAATGTATGCAACAGCTGCTCTTTCTTGAGTCACATCTTTTATTTGTGAATATGCAAAGTATTACAAACAGATTAGAAAGCTATCTATGCTAATCTGTCACTGTTTGGTGTTTTACAAATGTTTTTCAGAACACGGTACCTGTTCTTGCGGTCGATGCATTTGTGAGGCTGGCTGGTTTGGAAAATTATGCCAACATGCAAGAAAATGTAATATGACAGAAGAAGAGAGCAAGAGCCAGTGTGAGTCATCCGATGACATACTGTGCTCTGGGAAAGGTAAGTGCTTACTTTGTTCCACAAATCCATCTGTAATTGAGCCATCAGTCAAATGTTTCTTTGGAAAACAAAATGAGAAGCATCACTTAATTTCTACACATTTGCTCCTCGCAAACACGTTTGCTCTGTCCTTAAGCAATTTTGGATTTAGTGGCAGCTTGCACCTATTAACAAACATAAAGGGCAACAAAAGGTTCCAATAATGTATATTTCATTTAGATGTTATCACTGGAACAAAGAATTCCAAAGAAAGTCAATTGAACATAGTATGGATGAGATGGTAGTAAACAATATACTGAAAACTTGTCTTGAAACCTTTTCAACAATCTCACCTTCCTGTCACAGATTTGTACAAATGATGTCCTTCGGGCTTGTGGAAATAGACATCCAGATACTCTCAGTCTGGCTTTGCAATGTATCTAATTCAGAGTGTTTATGTATTGCTGACATCTCGGTCTTATTCTATACACATGAAGGTATTCTTCGTTGTGCTATGAATCATGCTTGCTGTGCCTCTGGTATGGAAAATGCAGGATTTTTTTGTTATAGAAATCTGCAATGTAGAAAATAGAGAACGGAATCATAAATGATCCATCTTTTTTCTTATTAATACAGTAAAAGGCATGTTATTTCATATTTTTGCTAACATGCATTTGGTGAAGAATAATTACACCTCAAGGCATTGTAAAAGTGTGAAATATATTCTCACAAAGAAGGCAGTTCTAGCTACTTTTAATTATCAGTTTTTTTAAAGCAAAAAAAATATAAAGCCACTTTCTTGAGAGAATGTTACAAAATATATTTATAAGAAGTCTACAACGCAAAGCAAAAAGATTAATACAGAGCTCAACATGCTTTAACATTTGTACATGTTTACATATCTAGTTTAGTGACCATATTGGCTGATGTTTGTGGTTTTCTTCAGGGATGGGTAGAAAGCAAACATGGTCCAGCAAACATGTGTGCTATATCACATGATAGATCTGATATAATAAAAAGTACGATGTGTGGGCTGATCAAATAGCCCATTGTTCCCCTTAAGTATGAATGGCACAATTCTACAAATATGCATGTTTATGTGCTACTGTATCCCACCTCAACCTAACCCCTGAACCAACACGTTCTCAAACAATTCATTCCCCACACAGCTACCTCCTCATGTATCACTTCTCCCTCCCTTTTAGATTGTAAGCCCTCAGGGGCAGGCCCCTCCTTACCATCTTGTCTTGAATTGTATTGTGATTGTAATGTCTTTTGCAACCGGAACAGTTTCGGTTCCGTAAGCAAGCTGTTCTGTTCAAGTTGCTGGTTTTATAGTGTAAAACGAATAGTGATGGGCTCGATGTTCAAGCCGAACGTGAGTTTGACTCGAACATCGGCAGTTAGCATGTTCGGTGAACACATGAACTGTTAGGGTGTTCGGCGGGCTTTTCGCCCATTTAGTGCCCCGCACAAGGCATTGTGCCTTCTGAGCCTTTATTGTCTAAAGTCTTGCACCTGACCACAGGTCAGGTACAAGACTTTGCCCAATCACGCCACAGAGAACTGTGAGGGCCATGATTGGGCAAAGTCATGATGACTCTGCCCAATCATGGCTCACCTGTTACAACTGTAAACAGTTGGGCAGAGTTAGCTGTCACTGCTAGCTCTGCCCAATTGTTTATAAGTCGCCGGCACCTGTCAAAGAGAAATTCTGCGGCGGGTCTTAATCTCAGCGACGAGACGGTGGTTGTCGTTTTTTTCCACATTTTATTATTTCCATTTATTTTTTATTGTTTTATTTTTTATTTCGTCGAATCGTCGTCTTCGTGGACAACACTGGACATCGTGATTGACACTGGATTAAATCGGTGGATCCATTTAAAATAAAAAATAAAAGACTTGTCAAAAACATGTCTTTTGTTTTGTTTTTCAAATAAAGGATTTTTTCAAAAGTGTGGCCTCTTTTTTAAAACTTTTATTTAACCCTTTCATGAATGGGTTAAATCATTCACAAGCGGGGACCACATCTGGGTGCCCCTTTATTAAAGGGGTACTCTGATGTGAATAAGCCCCCTGCCGGCACCCCCACAACCAACACCCCAGGGAAGAGGCCCTTGTCCCCATCGGCACTTTGCTTTTCCATCGGCAACCCTGGAAAAGTGCCCTCCCAGTGCTGAGGGCATGTGGCCTGGTATCGCAGGGAGGCGAGGGGTGCTCGCTCGTCACCCCCCTTTCCTGCCCTGCCAGGCCTGTGCTTGGATCAACGGTCTAGTTGGGAATGTTAGGGGGGTCCCCACGTCCCCGTCCCCCCATTTTTGGGGGTGGGGTTCCTCCTTAAAATTCCTACCAGACCATAAGAGCCTGGTATGACTTTATGGGGGAACCCCACTCACTTTTTTTTTTACATGGGGTCCCTCCTAAAATTCTGGTATTGTTTGGGAGGGGGTACCGCACGCTTTAAAAAAAAAAAGTATTTTTTTTTTCTTTATAAATGTCATTATTGCTGCAGCAGGTTCAATACACTGTACAGATGTACCACTTTACAGTCAGTTTAAGGGGACCCCCCTGGCACAATATTTAAAGGAATTTTTCATTTTTATTGTTTCACTTTAAGTGATGTTAAAATCACGGGTTTTTTTTTCTCATTGATTCCTGTCCCCCAGGTCAGTACCCGGATCCCCATAAACTTTTTATGGCCAATAAACTGCATATAAGGCTTCAAAATGGGGACATTTGATTTTCAAAGTTCTACCCCAATAGACTTGCATTGAGCTCGAGGTTGAATTCAAACTTCTCCCATGTACGAAAGTTCAAATTCGGACCAAACATGGGGGTGTTCGGCTCGTCACTAGAAACAAACAGATACGTGTAGAATAGCATGGTACAGAAAGTTACTGGGATAGATAACAGTTGATATTTTATGTAACTAATTATGACATGAACAGAAGCATATTCCACAGGGGTGGGCAAAAGTATATTACACAAGAATATTGGTTAGATAAGTTCCTGGAAATCTGCGGAAATCCTCTAACCTACTTAGATACATAAAATGGGTGCCTTTAAGCTAAGCTTGTCACAATAAAAGGCAAAAACAAAATGATTAGACAGGAAGGGTGGGAAAGTCACTCAATATTAACTGCAAATTTGACACTCTCCCTGCTTGACTGCCTCTGAAGTATCACCTCTTTTCCCTACCAGTCAGATACGTATGTCCCTCTTATTCCATAATCTGTTAACAATTTTTTATGCCAATCCCCCCTACAAAACCACAGCCATAGTGGTCTATTGCCTATATTATAGACCTACACTTACAGTGTGTGGACATGGTCCAGAGATAGCCCTGTATGGTTTAAATTATTTGAGTACCTTATATGACAATTTAACAGTTAAAGAAAAAAGATGATCACAATAAAGTGCACATTTTAATAAAAATCACTGTAAACATACATATAGAACAATAAAAAAAA